TTGGTTGGGATACTAGCTCTGCACCATTCCTAACTGTGGCCCCATGAGCAAAACACTCAACCTGGCTTGAGCTTTAGTGAACGTACAAGGAGTAAGGTAGTACCTCGTAGGCTTGCCATGAAGATTAGCTTGATATAGGTAAAGCCTGTAGCACAGTGCCTAGCACACAGATACATTGAGACCCTCAGAATGTTCAGTTGTTATGTAAAAGGCTGCCATATACTAAGATGCTTACTTAATGATTTGAACCATGACTGGACACAGCTGACGTATTTTTCTAAGACATTTCCTAATACATTAGTTTGCAGTCTGCTGAGAAGGAATGGAGAGAATCCGCTCTGAACCTCCATATCTTATTACAAGTGCCTTTGTTAGGAAAATAATAAGGACCCAGAGTACTGTGAGGATCAGGTCACTAAGGGCACTGGGAGACAAAAGGCATGATCTTTTAAGAAGAGGAAGCACAGTGGCAGTAATGGGGCCTAAAGAAGTTATCAAATTAATCTTTCATTGACTCTTCCTGTGGCAAATAAAGTCTGACAGGCTCTAGATTTGAGGTCCTGGAATAATATGAGAAACTTTAAATGATTTATTGTCCAGGGCATAAGTAACTAAGTGAAAGGATTCAGAAACCATAACAAGTAGATTTGACATCCAGTTGTATTATGGGTTCTGATTTTAAGTTGTTGTTATATAGTTGAATCATCTTGTTTGATATGAAGGGATTAACATTAGCATATGCCTCCCTGGGGTGTACCATATAAAGAAAAAATATATAATATATATATAATAAAAATATATAATATATATTATATATATATATACACACAGACACACATACATAGGTATTTGTGTATACATATATATATAAAATTAGGAAGTTGATAAAATAATGAATTATTATTTTTCTTTGTGACTTTTTCTTTCCAAATTTTCTACATAAGCATGTATTTCTTTTGTAATTAGAAAAAAATTCTAGAATAGTAAAGAGTACCAATGTTTAGATTAATGACATTAGAACACTTTGGCTCTGTACCAGAAAATAACAGTTATTTTTTTTGAAGCCTCCTCTCCCCAAGTGCTTATTAGTAGTCACAATATAGAACCTTATTTCTGGTAGTTATTTAAATGATACATATTTTTATATGTACTTTTTGAAATAACCCTCATCTCCTGTGTGGAAGAAAAATACTCTAATATACATTTAAGTACTTTCGTACCTTGCTTTTTCTATTCTCTTCTACCCCACCCCCAAGCATCCAAAATATTGAATGACTTGGTTTTGGAGAAACAGTTGATAGCCATGAACTTCTTAAATCACAGGTATACTTTTTTTTTTTAAGTCACAGGTATACATTTGAATGATTTACCCAATGAATTGTCCAGGAGTTATGAAGTTTTGTTTTCTCACATTAATCTTCTCTTCTTCTGCACATCCCTCAGTTTTACAGCTTTTATCGTTTGTAGGTTTCCAGAAGTAGACCCGTTGTCCACATCAAAAATAGAATTACCTGCTTTTAGTTCATAAGTGGGCAAGTACCTACTATTGAGTACAGCAGGTCCTCAAACAACATTTTGTCCAACATCATTTTGTTATAAAGTCAGTGAGATGCCTTAGGAACTTAACTCTTGTTTATATTAATTAGCCTATGATAAAATTGCTTTCATTATACATTGTTTTGCTCAAAGTCGTAGAACCTATTGATGACATTAAGTGAGGATTCACTGTATTCTTACCTCTTGCTTAACCACGTACGGTGTGCCCAATACTGTTCTTGGGGCTGGACATAGAATTTTTTTTTTTCTAATCTTCATAACAGCTCTGCACGATTGACCTTATCACTGTTTTCCAGATGAGAAAAAGGAGACTTGGAGTAGCTTGGTGAGTCACCCAAGCACTGCCGCGCAGCTTGTTGGTCCTATCAGGGGTTTCTGCTCAGATCTCTCTGGCTCCAGAACACACTCTCTGTACCACACAATGCTGCCTGTGCCTTTGGATTGCTCTTCAGCTGTGAGCTGAGTATCTTCAGGGGTCTCAGTTGGTCCTTAAAATGATCACTTGAAACTCCTTTATCTTGATGAACACTAATCTTTTGGTAGGAGACACTCTGTTTCTCTAGAACAGGGGTGGGGAACGTGAGGCCCACGGCCCACATATGTCCCCCAAAATCATTTGGTCTGGCCCTGCCAAGGCAACCGCAGGCAGGACTCGAAATTCAATAAATCTAAGAGCTTTTTCTGTAGATAATTTTTTAAAAATACATTTAAAAAAATTGATTTCAGAGAGAGGAAGGGAGAGAGAGAGACAGAGACAGAGACATAGAAACATCAGTGATGAGAGAGTCATCATTGATCGGCTGCCTCCTGCATGCCCCCGACCGGGGATTGAGGCCGCAAACCGGGCATGTGCCCTGACCAGGAATGGAACTGTGATCTCCCGGATTCTAGGCCAATGCTCAACTCCTGAGCCACACCCAGCCGGGCCGTAGATAATTTTTAAGTTGATAATTTTGTATGGCCCGAGAATGATGTTACAAATATCCAAATGGTCCTTGGAAGAAAAAAAGTTTCTCCACCCTGCTCTAGAACCTTCAGATCACTGGGGGAGAGGTGTATTTTAGAGAAGCCTTTGAGAGGTGGGCATATTGACTCTTTAAGTCCTAAGCAGACAGGATCCATGATTAGCAGCATCACCCTCCTCTGAGAATTTGCTCAACCACAGAGAAGAGAATTTTGTAAGCAGAGGGCATTACAATAGTTCGGCAGCTTGAATAGCTCCCAGCTCCCAAGTTGTTCTAGGTACTAGTTGGAGACTCTTGTCTCACCCCTACCCCTTTTTAAGGTTGACAGGAGGAAATTTCATTTTATTACCAGCAGTCAGATTATGGGATACCAAAGTTCTGTTCTCATACTCCATGGAATCTCATTCATATAAGGAAATGCAGACCCTGTGGCATGATTGAGAGTCTGGTTAAGTCTCATCACGCAGTTCTGAATTGAACGTGTCTAAAGTAGGGAGAAATAGGCTGATTTGAGATTTCATTTGAACAGAATTGAACTTCCTTATGTCAGTCTTTGCATTTTCACTTTGAGTTAGTAAGGGTTACTCAGCATAAGCTCATGTAACTGGTTCTGTTGAGAATGGACACAATCTGGATAGCTGGAACTCTCAGTAGCCTGGAGATACCATTCTCCTATATTTTATAGACATTCTGGGTGACACAAATCAGCAGGTGTAGTCCCTATGCTCTAGACACTTACAAATGAGACTAGTGCCGGTATTAATTATATGTGGCAGACCCCGTGCAGAATGCTCCATGGATCTTACTTGCTATAATCCTCACAAGGATCCCGATTGCAATGTCACCATTTTACACCTGAGAACTAAGACTCAGAAATAGTATAACGCGACCCTAGTCATTGCTAATAGGTGGCAGAACTGGATTCAGAATCAGATCTGCTAATACCTATGACTCGTAAGTAGGAGGAGGGAAGGAGACTAGTCTCAAGCTCATTTCAAATTTGTTGGCTTGAGAATACTGAAGGGAGGTTATGTGTCCAGTGTGGGGCTACAGCTGAGTATGGCCTATGGACTCATCAATCCAGGTGGGTTCTCTAGGCCCACCACTAACTCTTGTGTGGCCCAGGGCAGGAGTACAAATGGAGAACTATATGTTATATGTGGACAGCAAGCTATCAAATTGCGACATATTCTATTTTCTTGCACTGATAAGTAGACCTTCATAATTACCTGGAGGGTGAGCTCTTTTTTTAAAAAATATCTTTATTGATTTCAGAGAGAGGAAGGGAGAGGGAGAAAGAGAGAGATAGAATCATTAGTGATGAGAGAGTCGTCATTGATTGGCTGCCTCCTGCACACCCCTGACTGGGAATCGAGCCCGCAACCCAGGCATGTGCCCTGACCGGGTATCAAACTGCACGCGATCTCCTGGATCCTGAGGTCAATGCTCACCGGCTGAGCCACGGCCGGCCAGGCTGGAGGGTGAACTCTTGAACTCTTCAGAGTGCCTCAGAAATGTGGAGGCCTTGGGAGGCTTTCCGCTGGCTGCAGGGCCCCTGCTCTTCCCAGTGCCAGCTCTGACCTACATTGTGAAGTCTTGTGCATACACATGTGTGGGCCTTCCAGTTTGTATGTTTAAACTCCTTGCCCATGTAAACAGCCACTCATTGGGTGCCCTTCAGGTCAACAATTGCTTACACTCATGGCATGATCAGCCCGCTGGAGGACAGACCCTGGAAGTGGGTGTGGGGCTTTGGGGCCAGGGAATTCTGGGGTCCTAGGACCCTGGTCAGGAATGTGGGGTTTGGACTCTGGGGGTCTGTGAATCCTTGGCTATGCAGACTACATACCCCATGGGGTGGGGTATAGCTGGGGGAGCACCACAGTGGGTCCTCTAAAGCTGAGGTTCCCCTCTCAGGGTCCAGGGGCAATACTGGGGTCTTCAGCACTGGTGCTTTATTGGAGGAGGCTTGCAGGCAGATATGAGCAACTGTGCAACTGGTGGAAAACTGGCCCAGCTTCCACTTCTTAAGTCAGTGGCTCTTACCCTTTTCTGCAGGCTTCTCACCTTTCATTTGAGCAGCATGCAGTCATCAGTAACTTTCATAAGGTACAGTGATCCTCATGAGGGATCCTATCAAATCTGCAGCTGAGGGGCCACGGCAGGGAGAGGAGGTGTGTGGTTTCTAACAAGGCTCCCTGCAGGTCCTGATAAGCCGTCCTAGGAGGCGCTACCACGTCCCCTTGGAGAGGCCTTAACTGCCTTCACCCTCCTGCAGAGAAAGGGGGTGGGGGGGTCACCTCCACTATGCATCTCTTTAAATGTTAAGTCCAAGAACTATGCTCTGAAGACCTCTCCAAAAGAAATTACTTTCTAGCTAGATTTCATGCTACCACTTTAATTTTGTCACAGTGGTGCCTGGCAGCTCAAGGGCCCGTCAGCCGTGGAGGTGCCAGTGTGATGCAACAGCTGCAGCAGCAGCGGCCACAGAAACAGCCCAGCATGGCAGGAGCCCCAGACCTCAAGCTCAGCCAGAGAAGAGGTATGAGTCTGTTTCAGGTACTAATAAGGATTTCTCTCTACTGATGCAAATACTGGTGGATACAAGCTACCCAGGAGGAAAGATGCTGGGAAAACCCAGTATATGAGGAAGGGAATGTTATTTTCTTGGCTTCCTTTCAATAGCTGTTAAACTATTGAACAGATTTCACCCCTAGCCCCCCTTAGGGCTTTAAAATTAAAAAAATTTACAGATTCTTAAATCATTAATAATTAATTTCTTTTCCTGCTTTGTTGAGGTACAGTTGACAAATATAAAAATCCCACAGGGCCCTCTTTAAAGGACACAGAGTTGAGTACAAGCAGTCTACAAATCATGTAGGAATTTAGTTCTGGAATATGTCACATAACACAAATTACATGTACACTGGAAATGTATTTATGAACCTAACATAATTATACCTATGAAATGTATGTCCTGTGCAGGATAAAGAATAACTAATCTACCTAGAGTTTCTGTAGGAAACTCTGCCATTGTCTTTCATCTGTTAACACAGTGAACATAATTGTAAGTGACGTGATATGATTTATAATTTATTAAGGAAATAAAGTACATGTTTCATACCTCACCTCTGCCGTTTGTGGGTGGACATCAGCAGGCGTGGCATTATTGCTGGGTATCTTCTTTCATAACAGAAGCCACAGCTGTTCCCAAGTCTTTTTCTGGTACCGACTATAAAGACGATTATTTAAATGAGTGTAGAGATAGAATACCTCACTTGAACACTAGGCACAGTGAGAGAAAGCAGCGATGAACTATTTGCTTTTTCTGGTAGACCAGATGTTCTATGAAAGTTACATAACTATGAAAATATAATAATCTTATTCTGTGTTTGTTATTTTTCATTGTGTGACCAGGGGTTCATTGATTGAATACTATGTAAACTGAGGTTTATAGGGGATAGAGCATTAGGGGTGGGGCCCCAAATTATCTCCTTTCAACTCTGGCTTCCTAAAAGATTGGATCAGGTGAGGAAGGCAGGAAGCACAGCTGAGCAGGGCACCATCCTGCCTGGCTGCCCACGGCCCCTCTTTTACCTCAGCCACAGTACAAAGTGCTCTGAGTCCTCAGGGTACTTGGTGCAACCTGAAGAAGTGATTCGATGTGGAACCCTGGAAAAATTTTTTTCATTATTGTGTTATTTCAGTGACAAACGTCAATATAAATAGTCTTAATATTAAATAATTAACATTTAATAAAATTTCTAAAAAAATAGAAATTCTATTAAATAACTTTATATCATATTTATATGAAAGAAATGGGTTCATTTTAGGACAGACAGACAGGCAAAAAAATAAAAATAAAAAAATTAGTGATAATCTCACCATCCAGTATTGTTTCTATATCCGTATCTATTAATATTCACTCAGTATATATTTACCAAAATGTGGCAATACTGTACATATTATTTTATAAATTCCTCTTTTTATTTAATAATATGTCACCGTATAAATATAAACATTCTACATTATTTTAATAATGTAAGGGCGTTAAATCTTAATTTATTTATCTGGTCCCACATTATGGGGCATGTAGGTTATTTCTAGTTTTTCGATATTGGAAATGATGAAGTAATGAGTATCTTTGTGAATCTTCTGATGCTAAACATTGTGCTGCTTAGTGCTTGGGACTAGTCTAGATAATACTAGGCTAACACTCTACTAGTCCAGGAGTCAGCAAACCTGCCTGTGAAGGGCTAGATAGTTTTAGGCTTTGTGGGCCATTTGCTCTCTTTTGCTGCTGTTCAACTCTGTTGTTGTCACGTGAGAGCAACCTTAGATAATATGTAAATATTGAGCTGCATTCCAATAAAACTTTATTTAAAAAACAAGCAGCAGGGGCCAGGCTGCAGATTTGGTGCACAGACTTGCCAAACCCTGTCCTAGAGGCAGCATAGACCCTCGGGCCAGTTACATCTTGTGGGTTGACTGTATACAGTGGAATAGAATTCTGTTTATTAATTGATGAGCTGAGTTTCTGTGATGTACCACTTATAGTTCAAAGGAAAAACCTCGTATTTTGAGAGTCTCAGAATATAATCATGGCTAAACATTGACACCTTTCCAAGGGAGAAGTTTTAAATATGTTTTGCTGCGTACACTTTACATTCAAACAAAGGGAACTTGGCTGTGCAGACCTTGGTCTCAGATGTGCTCTGTCTGGAGGGGCAGAGAGACAGAGACCCTTGACTAAAGCTGTGTGCTTCACATTCTGGAGGAGAGGAGCGTGGGACCAGGGCTTACTAATGCACCACTCTTCATGCACAACACAGTTTTGAGTTAAGTGCATGTGTATTAGGTATTTTCAAATCGTGTGCATCTCTTTCATGTATAAGATCAACATGCTTTGCAAAACATGGGTTTGCAGGGCAGGGTAATGTCCCATTTAAAGCCACTCTCATTCTGAGCTCAGGTGTAGATGGAAAACAGTTCTAAATCCGTTTGCACATTGATACCCTCTGTGGCTTAGGTAGATCTCTTAGCCTGGGGTTTCTTAACCACTAATCTGTTAACTGGCAGCAATCCATGGAAAAATGCACTTAATTTATTGTGAGTCACAGATTTTGAAAGTGAAAGACAGTATCCCAGGAGAACACTGATGGTCTCAGTAGAAGGATCAGGGCAATATTACAACTTCACAGTATAGTGAACCTGGAATTTTCAGGTATCAAGAAAACTAAACACGTTTGTTAATTCATTGCTGGAACTTCTGATCAGAGGGGGTGGAAAAGTTGTAGAACAGTGACATCTTCAGTGTAGTTGTGTGGTTTAATAAAAAGGAGATTAAACCCCCTTTCTCTAACAGTGGTCTCAACCAAGGATTGAGACATTTTTCGTTGTCTCAACTGGGGTGGGGTATGTGTTATTTATTACCATCTAGTAAGTAGAGGCCAGGGATGCTACTAAACCTCTACGATGTGCAAGACAGCCCTGCACAACCAAAGATTGTCCAGCCTAATATGTCAGTGGTGCCGAGGCTGAGAAACCCTGGTCTAAGACAATGAGGTAGACAGTGAACTTAGTGAATCTTTATAATGGGGTCTAAATGAGAAAACCTCTGATGTCATTTTAATGCAGCATTTTCCTTTCCCAGGAATTGGTTCTGATTTTGAAAATTTAGGCTGTGAATTTAGATTTCTACCTCATTCACCTATAGTATGCTTGATCAAGAAGAGTTTCCACCTGTATAAATTTGACACACTCTGCTGTCTACTGTTACCAAATGTTGTTAACAATTGAACAATTGCAAATGAAGTGTCATCATAAAATCATTAGCTTTAGAGCACATCAAGAACAGGCTTCCAAACAAGCGCCCTCTCAGCAGGATTGGTTTAGTCACTGGGGTCCCTAGCGGCGGTCTAGATGTAGGAGATGTAGACAGTGCATTCATCATAATGGTGTTTTAGATAAACCTCAGACTAGTTATTCTCAGCTGCCTTACCAAGAGTNACAGTGCATTCATCATAATGGTGTTTTAGATAAACCTCAGACTAGTTATTTCTCAGCTGCCTTATCAAGAGCGACTGGAGAGTATATCCCTACAATGGAATATTAGTCAGCCATGAAAAGGAAAGAAGTACTGGTTGATGCTACAGCGTAGATGAATCTTGAACATTTTATGCCAAGGAAAGAAGCCAGACACAAAAGGCCACCTATTATATGATNTCTTGGACATTTTATGCCAAGGAAAGAAGCCAGACACAAAAGGCCACCTACTATATGACTCTGTTCCTATGAAATGGCCTAAATAGGCAAACCCATAAACTCAGAAAGTAGGTTAGTGGTTGCCAGGCATGAGGAGGAAGGAAAATGCAGAGCAGCTCTAATGGGTACAAGATTTCTTTTTGAGGTGATGGAAGGTTCAGGAATTAGATGCTTGTGATGGTCACATAACCTTGTGAATATATTAAAAGCCACCAAATTGTACAGTTTAAAATGGCAAATTTTGTAGTATGTGAATTATATCCAAATTTTTTAAAATGAGAAGAAAAGAATGGAAGATACATTCCTGTGCTTCCTTTAGTTTACCCACCTGCAGACTTTTACTCTCATCACATGGCTACCCGTCCATGGGGACACACAGGCCTCCAGGTCATGGTCCCCTCTCAGGCTCTGACCTCATAGCTTCATCTCTGGTCATGGTCTTCTGGAGGCTTCCAGAAGCCTTCAGGTGGCACTGGGCCTGTTCTGGCTCCACCTTCCCCCTGGCAGGTTTTGGAATAGAGATTTCTTTCTGGCCTGGCTCACTTCAGACTGTGTATGCTCCAGACTTGCTCTGGATTTTAGAAGTTTACATTTTGCATAGGCCTTTTGTAGTTTTGATTTCTCAGATGCTCCTGACTTAAAACTTATCACAGTTGTATTTTCCTTTTGCTTCTCTTTGCTCATTCAGTGCTTAATTCTTTAGCCTGGAACTGATTTGAAGTTAGGCAGTTTCTTACAGGAATTACCTAAAGGAGTAGAAATAGGTACTGGTGAAGGAAACAGGGTAGCAAGAAATAATTTAAGTCAGTGATAATTTCATTTAATAATCGACTAAAAAGAAGGTATCAGAGTGAGACATGGGCTGCTATACAATTGTAGGCAAACCCAAGGCTTCTCTGTGTATAACAGAACTTCCTGTGTGCACCAATCATGCTGAGTTACTAAGTACATTATCCATTTAATTCTCAAATAACATTTGGAGGCAGGTAGTAGTCTCTCTATTTTACAGATGAGGAAACTGAAGTTTGGAGAGATTGAGTAACCTGTACATTCATAAGGCATTCCCATGAACAGGTGCTTCTGCCTCAGGATGATTTGAGGTCTGTACCTTGACTCTCAGTCCCCAAAGAATGGGATCTTTGTTCAGGGCTGACAGTTTAAAAGAGAAACATTTTGAGCCCAGTGAAGACCAGTGCCAGGGATGGAGCTGCGAGACAAAGGTCAGAGTCTGAGCTTGGGACCACATGGACCTGGAGGCCTTGTGCGTTCCCTAACAGGTGGCCATGGGGTGGCAGCTAACAGGTCTGCTTTTTACCTTTGAGTTGAACAGATAAGAGGAGAGTTTGCTAGCTGAACCAAGATTCTTCCATAGAGGAACATAAAAAGTTACAAATCAACCGTTGTGTTTTATCTTACATAGGAAGCCGAAAACCGGAATACTGATGCTAAACATGGGAGGCCCAGAAACCCTGGGAGACGTTCATGACTTCCTTCTGAGGCTCTTCTTGGACCGAGACCTAATGACACTCCCCATTCAGAAGTAAGCTTCCTGTGAACACCTGGACCCATTCGCAACTTGTCCAGTGCATTTTGCCTTACATGTATCTCAGTTCTATAGTTTCAAAAAGTAATCGGTTTTAATGCATATCTGGTAGTGGCTAGAGCAGCCTGAGATTTCCTGTTAGATGTGAGGAAGATGTGATATTGGGAGAACTGCAGGGGAGAGACAGCGAGTCAGTGTGTTCTTGTCGAGCCCGTCCCTCCCAGAGCTCTGGAGACGGCAGTTGCCTGACCCAGCGAGGTCCCGTTAAAGATCTGCAGAGATGGATTTGTTCTTGGCACCAACAGCTGATTATTCATTTGTGCTGTGAATATAAAATTTGCACATGTATACAATAGACATGCCAATAATATAAAGATGTTGACGGTAAAAGGCAAGCGTCCCGTTTACCTTGGACTCCAGCCTCCAGGTTCCCACCCCAGAGGTGGGCACCGTTACATTCAGAAACAGTTCGCATGTCCAAGCACATGCGTGGACACATATATATATATCCCCCCTTTTCTTTATGCAAATGTGAATGTAATTATGTATATTATTAGGTATGTGACTTTTTTCCCCAAACTTAATGTGTCTTGGAGATTGTTCCCTAGCAGATTATATGGACCTGTTTCATTTCTTTCATGCCTGTACAGAATTGCATTGTATGGTTGTTAATCACTGGTTAATTGATTGAACCAGTGCCGGATGGGCATTTAGGTTGTTTACACTGTTACAATGAACATTCTTGTGCATACACCTTTGCTCACACATGCAAGTGTGTCTATAGGATTAATATGCATTTTCTTAAATTAAGGGGAATATATGCATCCTGATGTCTTATATATCCAAGTCCCTGCCAGGTGCAGGATCAAGAGGAGTTAAGATCGTAGCTAGCACACACCCAGGGTCTCTGCCTGCTTGTTTGGGGTACCCACTCTTTAGGCGGCTAGAACAGCCCGTGGGGCAGAGGTGGCTGCTCCTCCGAGAGTGTCTGGTTTTCTCTCCAATCTGGGCCAAGAGAGCTGGCCCTTGTCAGTGACCTCAAGCTTCTGTTTTCAAAGGCTTGATCTTGTTGGGCTCTTCTTAAAATTTTCCTTTTTTTCTTAATGAGTAGAAAATGTTTCTGAGGTTGCTAAGGTGGAATAAAATCCGCTTACCTACATATTAAATGATTTAGCAAGCTGGCACCAATCATCGCCAAACGCCGAACCCCCAAAATCCAGGAGCAGTACCGCAGGATTGGAGGCGGATCCCCCATCAAAATGTGGACTTCCAAGCAAGCAGAAGGCATGGTGAAGCTGCTGGACAAGATGTCCCCACACACAGGTAACATGCTTCTTACTTAACATCTCACCAGTAGTTATGAAATTCAGAACACTACCAAATGCTAACAGCAGCTCTCACTTTGCGGGGGTTCCTATGTGATACACGGTCACTTAGGTCACTTAGTTCGCGAGGTCTTGTCCCTCGTCCTTGGCTGTATACCCTTTTCTGTTACTTCCTTATGTTACAAATAAAAAAACTAAAGATTTGGAACATTAGTTTCCAAAGGCCGTTTGAGGTGTGTGCTAAGTTGAGCTAGCTTATAAGGAAGAGACTATATACCCTAAATAAAAGACGCACATGTCATTGCTCTGGAAAGAAAGCTTTGGGGGATGGATTCAGGCTGCTGGCTCTTCCTCCGGGGTGAGTAGCTGACATTTCGAGCTGAATTAGCTAGCTGTCCCTGCAGCCGTGAGACACGGCAGCTTTTGGTGGCTGCTTTCAGCTCTCGGCAGCACCACCATCGCAAGGCATCTGTGTGCCTTGTCAGATGTGGCACTAAAAGAGGATCACACACTTCTGGCGGCTGTCCTCTGAAAACCTCTAGCCCAAACCTCTAGCCCAATAACAATGTGCAGAATGAAACACTACGTGAATGAACTGTAAGTGCCGTATTTAATCTCATTCGAGACATCATTCACTGTAGGACACGCCGTTTCTATATAATACTGAGACACACAAAAAACTCTGCCAGTTAATTTTAAGACAGAGCCTGTTGTAGGTATGGACCAATATGAGAAATGTTAAGACAAAAAAATATGCATCTTAGCNTTAATTTTAAGACAGAGCCTGTTGTAGGTATGGACCAATATGAGAAATGTTAAAACAAAAAAATATGCATCTTAGTACATGTGAATCATATTAATTGCAGATACATTGTAGGGCCTCAGGATCAGGACAGGAGAGTGACCCGGGGGGACCCTCAAGAACAGCCCCTCTAGGCAGGACCACCAGCCTTTTGCTGTTCTCTGAGAAGACATTGCTAAGAGTTGCTCCCAGAGGCAGCTCCCATTGCACGCAAATAGAGACCAAGGGCTGTAGCCCCCGGCAGAGCATCTCACTTGGAAAATTGCTCAGTTGCGCTTCTGAATGTTAGGTTTGCTTCCTGCCTTTCCTTGCGGCTCAAGGGCATTTCTTACACAGTTCAGCCGCACATGCCACAATGTATCTTCAAACGTGGGGTGAGGGAAACTTGGCTGACTCTGCTCACACCTACTTGATAGAAAACTAGCTCTGTCGCCATTAACAGTCTATCATGATAAAAGGTTTAGCGTGAATCAGATCTGCGATTGCTGTGTGTCTTCAGTGGGAAAATGAGGCAGAAAGATGGCCTTTTCCTCTGTTGATGTGTTAGTGTGGTGGCGGTCACTGCAAAGGGCCCCAGTAGGGTCGTCAGACGTGAAAAAGGGTTACAGATGGAGGGCATCCTGCTCACCACCTCCCCCCTCTGTGCTGAGGCTGCTGGGTTGTCCGCACCAGGCAGGCCAGCAGTGGCCTCAGCCTCCTAGTTGCCCTGGGCAGAGCCCCATGGAATCAACTGGATTTAACCCAGTGTCCCACTTACTATCAAACATTTAAATATGTTACTATCCGGTCATTTAACTATGTGGCCATGTAGTGCATAGAGAGGAAGTTACAAGCATCTAGTCTCTAGGGTTAATTAATTATTCCCTGCTTCGGTAAGAACCTAAGCATAATGTCCATTTTATATTTTCATAGTCAAATTGTTGAAAGAATCATTTAAAAACAATCAATTATTAAGCCTTCTCTCTTATAGAGACATATGAAATAAAAGCCTGTTAATCTTTGTTATAACTTTGGGGGTGAGTTTAGGGTACCCATGAAGCACAAGTCAGCCCAGTGGCTTGCCTGTCCAGTCATAAACTATTACTAATGTGACAGGAAATCATCTTTCCTCCTTTCTCGTTCCAGTCCTCGCCCGTTGGATCACTCGCTTACCCACGTATTCATTCATTATCTCCCACAATCCCATTCTTCCATCCAGCCAACCACCAGTTAGTTATAAGCATGGGCCACATCTCAGGTATAATGTGAGGGATAAAGTACTGAATAAGTCACACCCTTACCTTCATGGAGCTGAGTTTCTTGGTACTTTTCTCTGAGGCAGGGAGTAAATTCTCTTGGGGGCTACTTTTGCTTTTTTTCTGGCTCTTGGAAGCTTGTCCAGGGCCTGGTCTGGGAGACTTTGCTACTGAGGGCCCTTTGGCACACCAGCATGCCCCATGGCCCGCAGTTGGCATGCGCTGAGGCAGGCGAGGTAAATGGCTGCTTTCTCCTGCGCGGTAGATGACACCTCATGGAGGCCTGGGTGGGGGCTATGGTGGTGGCGTTTAACAGGCCCAAGGCCACTCACGCATTCATTCACCAGTGGCCCAGTGAGTGCCCTGCATTGTTCAGTGCTGCTATTCAAAGTTGAAAGACATGGTGCCACTTACAAGAAGCTTCTAGTCTGCTGGGGCCTTGCTGCTGCAGGCCCGTCTGCTCAAGGGGTAGAGAGAAAATCTTTTGAAGGATTGTTGGAGTCGTGCTCTGCGGAGTGTGTGGAGGCCGATGACCACACAGAATGGAACAGGAGTCATGGAATAGTCTCAAGGGCTGGAAACTTCTTTGGGGGAACTTTGCATTGAAGACCAGGGGTCGCCCAGATTGCCTGGAAAGAAGTTCCTTGTCCCCTCACTGAGGGGATGGGAGGGAGCTTGGCGATGGAGACCCAGGAGCCCCTTGGGTGAGAAGAGCAGTTC